AGAGTGTGTGAAATAGCAGCATGTGACAATGATAAACACTGAATAAAAATAGCAAGTACATGTAGACTCTTGTCTTAGAGTCTAAGTCAGAGGAATTCCTGAGAATTATTGACTCTGCTGTATATCAATTCCAGAACAAACACTTTGAGAGCATGTGTGTGTGCATTTCTGAAAATCAGTACATCACTTAGATTGGTATAATTTGGGGAGGTCAAACTGGCCTAACTTCCCTAGGGGAAATTACACTTTTCCAAATGCTTGTATTTTTGTTAGGACCCAGTTAGACAGGGAAGTAAAGGGCCATAGAAAAGAAAGTGGAGCAATAGAAGTCAGTCTTTGAAGTGTGGCCCAAATTTAATCATATCCACTGTCTTTCTAGGTCAAAAGAATGATACCAATCATATGATTATAGAGATGTTGAAAGAATTAAACTACATTAATAATCTGATAAACAGTAATAGGAATGTAAAACAGTCCAAAGCAAGGTTTAAAGTGATGAAATTACTAATAATCTGCTCAGATGTCCGCTGTCATGTTCTTATTGCACAAAGGAATATTGAAAGTGAAATGGCTATTATTTTAGAGCAACCAAATAAATGATGTTGATTAGAACTGAGTCTGAACATCAGCATTGGTGAAATTTGTATGGGATGGCTTTTTAACATGTACAGTAAATCTCACATCAAGAACTTGTCATTCTGCACCTGTTCAAGAAAAAATTAAGTAACGACCTTTCATAATACAAAATGTAAATTTTCCATTGAAATATTTGGAGGAATTCTGAAAGCAACACTGCTTGGCAACATAGTTCTAGTGATGTTCATACATATCATACATTTTTCCTTTAGAGTAAAACCCAGGTTTTATTTTATGTAAAGTATTAAAATACAACTTTATGGTACCTGGTAAAATCACGTTATTAAAAAAGTAAGTAAACTGTCATTCAGTTTTAAGCTGAATGCGTTTTCACTTGTCCTCTGTAGGACTAGATCTGTCATTTTAGAACCCTTGTAATTTCCTATTAAAGGTGGTTTGAGTAACATGAAAGTCTACCTGTTAATTTGTGGAGGACTTCTTTGAATGGTGTGTTGGCCACAGATTTGTGTGTGTGCATAAATATTCTGCAG